CAGGAGGAGGAGCAGCAGCAGCAGCAGCAGCAGGTACTGGCTCCCTCTTGGGCGCAGGCTGCGGGTCATCCAGCACCAAGTGAGAGACAGGAGGCTCTGGCGAGAGAGTATAACGAAAACGAAAAGAAAGAAGAAAATGAATATCATCGAGTCGAACACAAACATCATCGATGATGCTGCCACCCCCTGCTGCTGCTGCTGCTGCTGTTGCTGCTGCTGCTGCTGCTGCTGCTGCTGTTGCAGGTGAGGAGGCAGCAACGTGTTCCGTGTCTGGGTCATCGTCTTGATCGTGATGCAGGAGGAGTTGCTGTTGCTGCTGCTGCTGTTGCTGCTGCTGCTGCTGCTGCTGCTGCTGCTGCAGCAGCACACACTTAGCGAGTACATCTTCAACAGCAGAACGGAGAGCTGGGCATGTGCTGATGCTGCTGCCAGCAGCAGCAAATAGAATATCTATTGCTTCTATATAAGGACGAAGCTCATCGAAGGAAGCAGCAGCAGCAACAAACCTAATATGTCTGTAGTATGCTAGGCTCTGTACACCCTCAAGCGCAGCATCTCTCCATGCAGGCCGCATACACCCCAGGATTTCTATAGCCATTCTACATATATCTTTTTGTTGTAAGAAAGTATTACGACCCACAAACACATCATCCATCTCCCCTTCTCCTGCTGCTGCTGCTCCTGCTGCTCCTGCTGCTGCTGCTGCTGCTGCTGCTGCTGCTGGGGAGGAAGCAGCAGCGGCTGAGCACGCTCGCTCAATACCCTGAGACATCCAACCCTCCGCTAAACTCTCCAGGGCGTCTGTCTCCTCTGAGCAGTCAGGTAGGGGGGGACCCAAAGAAGCGCTGCTGCTGCTGCTTGATGCAGCAGCAGCAGCAGCAGATAGCATCGATAAAGAAGGGCCCAGACATCCCCCACCAACCTCCTCCGTAGAACCCATGCAACCATCCTGAAGCTGAAACAACAACAGCAGCAACAGCAGCAGCAACAGCAGCAGCAACAGCAAATGCAGAAACAGCAGCAACAGCAGCAACAGCAGCAGCAGCAGCACATAACCAATATACCGATAAACCCGAAAGACAAATGCAGACAGCAAACGCACCAACAACGCCAGCATCCATCCCACCCCCAAAGCGAAAGCAGCAACAGCAACAGCAGCAACAGCAGCAACAGCAGCAGCAGCAGCAGCAGCAGCTCACGGAGTTAAGGTGTGTTTCAGGGGAGTGAGGGGAGGACGATGGCTGCGCCTCTGGGTCTCCAGCTACTGAGGCAGTGGAAGCAGCAAGAGGAACCCCCAAAGAGCTGCATAGTCTTGATGGGGCCGGCAGCAGAGCGTTTGTGTTTGAGGGAGAAGGCTCGCTAGCGAATGTTGTTGATGGTGTCGATACACCCCAATTAACACGAGGACTTAATAAATCATCAGGCAGCAACAAAGATCCGTCCCCTTCCTTTTCGGACATACCCAACTGCTGCATAGCTGCTCCCTCTGCTGCTGCTGCTGCTGCTGCTGCTGCTGCTGCTGCGGCTGCTGCTGCTGCTGCTGCTGCTGCTGCTGCGGCTGCTGCTGCTGGAGGGGGCTTAGCACTCGTGTGTTGTACGCAGAGGCGGGATGCTGCCTCTGTAGAAGCCGCATGCTCCCCCTTGGAGAAAAAGAAAGAAGAGAGAGGAGGAGGAGGGGTGTCTGACCCGTGCGTAGCGAATCGATTGCGTGGTGTCTGCACAGCTGCAGCGTCGTTGTATTTTTTTGTGTTGTTTTGGTTTTAACAGTGAGGCTGGTTTGTGTTCATAAACCCTGGTTTAATAAAGGGTATATAGAAGAAAGAAAGAGGAGAATCAGCAGCATTCAGTTCTGCTGCTGCTGCTGCTGCGCTGCTGCTCCTGCCGGTGCCTGCTGCTGCCGGCGAGATATACCCTGGTACTGATGCTGAGGATACAGGGGCTCCACAGAGCTCTATCAAACCCGCAGAGTCTGTATGAGCCCTTGTGTTTGCGTGTCTTGCAGCTTTTCTGTAGAAACTCAGCAGGACCCCCGGACACTTGAACTTGTATTCAACATATGTATGGGAACGACTGGCAGATCGTCGAGCTAGCCGAGTAGTTGCTGCGGCTGCTTGGTATAGGCTTAGGTTCTGTTTTTTTCAGTTTGTTTTTATAAAAATACCAAAATAAGAATTCAAACATAAAAAGGAAAATACATCATTCAACAAGGACACACAAGGATCGCTCTCTTACTTTACCTGCAGCCTCCTATAGCCGAATATCTGCATGCCTCGCCAGCAGCAGCGTATATATATATATATANTATATATATATATATAAGCTACAGCTGTGGGCTTTCTAGACTTTATAAGTATCCGAGAGAAAACTAAATTAAAAACATCAATTCTTTTTATAATAAATCAAGAATAAATATTAACATTTACGTGTCCTTTCTACCCCAACACACTGATTCATCTATACTACTGGAATCGCAGTAGCTGTACGTGCAGCTTCTTGTTTCTTCATTTCTCTGCATTCAAACTCTAAACTTTATGTTTATGTATCCGACAAAAACTTGTATAATTAAATATTACAAAAATACATCTGTCGATACACCTGAAACGCCGTCACACGTGAATTTTCTCCATGCAGATACTGCATCGTTCTGCCAGCTACATGCGCCGATCTCGAGGGAAACCATGAATAAAAAGAGGTTTCTGCATTATATTTCAACTTTATTTCGTATATTTTATAAATTGATTCAAAAGAAATGCTGAAAAACGATATTTTTATGTCGCTTTCCACCCCAGGATTGCGACGGACTCGGAGCTGCACTGTACGTATCCGATACAGAAACGCCTCTACGTCTGTTCAACTTTCTTCTTTTCCATCAAAATAAAAAATAAATTAAATAAAGCAAGTGTATTCTCTCTCTTTTGTAGACTATACAGACTAACATTTCCCCTCCTTCGAGCCATACATACACCCCGTTCCTAGTCTCGTGCGCATATACAATATCTCTACCCACGTAAAACAACAGAGGCTTACGTCATGCTTCAAGCTTCTAAAACTCAAAACCCTAGACAATGCATACACCCGAGCAACACCCAAGCACAGGGGCACAGAGACAGTGCAAGCGAGGCCTGAAGAGGCCCTGCGGGATCGTGGCTAGCTGTAGCTAGCTACCGCCAGCTCTACCCGGCTGAGCCCGGTGAATAAGAAACAGCCATCTAGGTAGCTAGCTCGGTGTGACTAGCTAGCTGTAGCTAGCTGTGCCCCCTATCTGCCTAAACCAGAATTCAGTATATACTGCACTGCTGGCGTTCTTTGTGGAGAAAGAAAAAGATATTGCATTTGCTGTTCCCACCAGTTCGCTTATAGACGCGTGTAAACTGTAGATAGACAGTGAAAGCATGCATTAGCTCATTCATGTAAAAGTATATACACGCATACGTATGAAAAAAAACGCATGCATGCNGCATGCATGCTTGCATGCAGACCTACACGCAAAGGCCCTGATTATATATATTTATATTAGTTCAACGCCAAGTGTTGAACAGAGACAGACGGAGAGGCAAACTATGCGTATAGAGAAATTCACTGCATGTCTGACTGCATGCAGCATGCAGCTGAAAGCGTCGCCTTTCAGCCCTAAACCCTAAACCCTAAACCCTAAACCCTAAACCCTAAAAAACAAAATTATTTCTGTGCCTCGAGTTGGCGTTTCTTCCACATCTTCGCTGCTTGCAGTATTTTCAGGTTCTGCAGCAAACAAAGACAGACCGACAGACCCGCACAGCCTTGAGGTGTACATACACCTCACCACGAATGCATGCATTCACATCTATCTATAAAGAATTACATTTATTTATACGCAGAAACAGCTGCGCATACACCAGAAAAAACCATAGAAACCTCTAACAAGCAAATTCAACACTGTCAGTATTCCTCCACCACATCACTTCGTTTCCAGCCAAAAATAAACTCAAATTTATACATGCATGCATGCATGCATGCATGCATGGATAAGTAGATGGATGCATGCAGCAGAAAAAGAAAATTATTTTTTTTTTTTTTTTTTTTTTTTTTTTTTTTTTTTTTTTTTGTCTTACAGCAGCAGAGCCTTCGTCATCAGGGAAGACATAAGTAAGTGTTTCAGTGACCTCCTCGACTCCATTTGCATTTTTTTGTGTTTTTCTTTTTTTAATTTTTTTAGGAAGAAGACGAAATACGCGTTGAATTGATTTTGCATCTCCAGCCTCTCGTTCTAGTGCAAGCCAGTGCTGCGGGGGGGGGGGGGGGGGGGG